TATATATAATGAAAAATTTATTTAATAGTGTTTAAACTTAACTCAATACAAAAACAAAATATTACAACTTAATAATGCAATAGCTTTTAAATCACTTATTTAATATTATATCTTAAAAAATACTATTAGTATATTAGAGAACAGCGAGAATGATTTTTATCACTAATAAAAGGAAAAACTATGTTCTTCTCTGGTATATTTACTAGCAACCGATCGCCAAAGTAGACAAATTTCAGCTGCCATTTATCTGTTATATTCATGAATTGACATTTATGTACTACTATTCAAATATTTTCTGGTAACATAGAAAGTACTAATGAAAAAATTATACTTATTATATAACAAGTTCAATTAAATGAAATGCCATATTCCATTAAAATATGATGAAAAAATTTAAAGCTTGAACATTTTTCCAGCAATGATGCATAATCATAAAGAAACATTACTAAAATTTACTTTAATTGTAAAAATTTAAAAAAAGAATAAGTTTTAAATCTAAAATTAAGACTAACTACTAATCAGCTTTATAAAAAATTCCAGTTTGCAATGAATAATAATATTCTTAAAGTTAGTAGTATAGTAGATTTTCCGCATTATTTTATAACGATATATAAATTATACATAACGAACATAACGAGGTCGATATTTATGTAAATAACTTATATAGCTACATAATTAATTACTATAATGTCATTAGATAAGTTTTCTATCTCTACTTTATGTTCACGGATCAAACTCCACGTAAATTAATAGAAAAATTGTGAGAATCGTTGGATTTTTACTTTTTAATAATATAATTTTAGATGAAAATTAAAATATTATTATTTCTTAGAGTATAAAATTATTTTTGTTACATAATTAATATTCAGATTATACATTATACTGTTCATTCTTACAAAGTTTTATTTTACTTTATATAGTTTAAATAAAGTCTAAAATATCTTTCTCTTACCGACATTGAGTATATTATATATTTTTCTTTTCAAGCTGCACTATGAAAAAACAATTTTTTTTGAATATTCAATAAATTATTTATAAATATTTTAAGAAATTATTTTTTCACTATGCTAAATATTGTCGCGAACAAATTTTCCGTTCCACCCTAATGAATGTTGTGTACATAATTTTAATAACTTCTACGGTAAAACTTTCTGTCTTTTAACGCGTACAATAATTACACACTGTAATACACCACGTGTTTTCCACATAATAATAGTACAATAGTTTTAAGTATCCCTCCCTTGTATTCATACACGAAAACTGCAGAATTAAATATTATTACGAAGAGGTATATGCGATAACAAGAGTTTGTTTTGCCCTTTACCAGTTACTTAGAAAATATAATGAAAAACTTTTGTTGCTAAACAAAATCTATGTATTAAACTTGTAAAATACCTAACCATTTTCTCTACATGTATTAACCTTAATGCTAAATTATGACTAAAACTTATATTCTTCAAATAGTTTACATAAGTATATGAACCGATAAATTTAAATAGATAAACCCGTTTTCAACTTTGGAAAACTGTGGCAAGATAATGAATAGCGTTAATCAATAATATTTATAAACTTATTACACGTACTAAATATTAATTCGAACTTTTTAATTTTTAAATAATATATTTATACTTAAATATATTAATATTCCCTTAATTCTTATTTATTTAGAACAATTAAGAGCATTTGGGCAATGCTGTTTGCAGCAAATAAAGAAATCTGAGAGTTTTGAAAGTCATTGCACTGTCGTTCGGCATTGAACTCTAATAATAACAATAACTGTTGTGATATTTGCCACACGGAGTTTAATTAACTATAAATTAGGATTGAGAATACTTATGAAATCATATAAAATAATGATACAAGTGTGTGAACTCATTAAACAGTTTATTTTGCTGTTATCGTAACCGCCAAACTGTTTGGGGGGCCCATATAAAATAGGAAATGTAAAAAAATTAAGTAATTTTAATTCTCTAATAACCAGTACACGCTACTGAGGCATTTCTTCGTCTGTTTCTGAAGTTGTTGGTGTATTATGCTAACTTACTAAGTTTGTATTCACCATACTGCAGTTTTAAAAAGATACAAATAAACTCTAAAATTCCAAGGCCTCAAAAAATCTCAAGTGATCGTGATTCAAATAATGTTTATTAGTTTGGGAGCTTATATTTCCCTCGAGGGTGAGAGCATAGTGGTAGATGTTGCCAAAATACTGTTACTAACCATTTGTTGAATCTCGTCTTTCGTATTATTAATGTAAAAGTATATTTTTAAAATGAACTTGGAGCACATCTGTAAATTAATATTTAATGAATAACTTATTCATTGATTGGTCTTATTGAACACAAAATAAACTTAATAAGCCTATTTATACAGCTACTATAATACTAACATTACTTTTTCAAATGTCTATGTTATTTTTAGCTACAGTAATATTCTGATAAGTTTGTGTACAATATTATTTGAAATTCTTTTTAATATTTATATCCTACAGCGTTAACCACAGGAGCATGATAACGTATTCAATATAAAAATAGTTTTGTGTTAGACCTTAGAAAACAGATGAATCTTAAAATATTTAAATAAATATCCAAAAGTTTTGTTTATTTTATGAATACAGTTAAAAATCCTAATCATAAAATAATTGAAAGTCAAAAATATTTTAATTATTGATCAACTTTATTTAAGCGAATTAATTATACAATTTTTATAAATAATTAACTTACCAATTTATTAAATTACTGATTAAGTTTCTCTAAAGTTAGTGACAGGTTTAGTTTTAATCATACAAATTTATGTTAATAATATTTGTATCATTAGTGTCGCATAATACAAATTTGAATTGTAATAAATTATTAAAGTACAAGAAGTTTCATAAGAAGGTAGTCTATATGCCTAAACATACGACCCAGCTAATTATTTGAATTAACACTTACATTATACAATTGTTTAGTGATTAAAATGGTCTAAATTTAAATCTAATTGTTTTGTTAAATATTTTCAGATATATTAATTAAGACTAAATTTAGCTAAAACATCGTTTTGTTAAATAACATCAAAACAAAGACGTGTGTTAAAAAAATTATCGTCATGCTAACTTTTGAAAAAAATGTCTACATTATTTGGCATTGTTTACAGTTTTAGATTTCATTTAGCATTTGTAAATTCATAATAAAATTCGTACACATTAGTTTTGAATTCAAAGATAAAAGTTTTGCAAATTATTTGTTTGTTGTATTATTGTATCATAATAATATAATAATTCGAACGATCAAAAAAAAGTACAGTCACTGAATGGCTTTTTCAGATTGTTATTTTTCTAAATAAAAATAAATTAATAAAAACAGGCAATGTATAGGCCAGTCCACTTATTTCTAATCAGCTTATAAACAGAAAATTGATTTTATTCGTGTTATACGTTTGCACATGGAACAAATTTTCAAACAAAAGTTAATTTTCTTTGCCACGGCTGTGCAATACATAACAATTGATTAGCGGATGTTTTATAAGAAATCTTGTGCACAATTCTGCTAACTTTGTAGTAAAAATTTATCCTAATAAAAATCCCGATAATCTCAAAAACTCATTTAATCTCCTTGCAATCGTTAGGACATTAGTTACCACTTGAGCATCGATTCTAATTGTTTATTTATGTCCAATAGTTTCTCCAACTTCTATTATCGTTAATTCAATTATGAAATCGAAAGCGCAATCGAATCACGTGTCCAACGTTCGATAACGACTATATCTTTTACTGTTGCTTATCTAGAACTATTTAATTTAGCTGGTTCCATATAATAAACACGTGTACGTCTCGAGATTTTAATGCGTTTAAAAATAAAGTTTACTACAAAAATAAGATTTATCCCTCGTGCATATTCGAGGGGAAAGAAATACGACTTTAATAAAATGTTCAATGAATTGGTCACGGTCGCAGTATCCTTTAAGAGAAGACAAAATACTTCTCAACGGTTCTGTGTAGCATCCTGCAGGAGTGCGACCAAAAGATATAGTGCGTTAATGCGTAACTCCGTGTTATATGACGCGTAGCCGAACGAAACGTAATCGCTGCTGGGCCACCACCGAGTTATTTCTAACGGACCAACACCTCTACGGTGTAACCATAACTTGTCCACCACCTAAACCGTTTCCGTTGGTGACATATCGCACACCAATAGCAATCGCAGCGCTTTTACTGCGATAGCTTGGATCACACTCTACATGCCTGTCGGAATCATATTCGATACATTGGTGGTGGACTAAGGTTTGCACATAAGGTCGTATTGGCATCTCGTCAACTACCGACTTAAGTCGGGAACGAATCACAAATCATGAAGCGAACGGGACTTCAAAGTGTTAAAGTCTTTTAAGAGTTTAATTTTGAGTTTGCCTGGAACGTTTTGTACGGTTTTAAGCAATAAAATACTTTGGTCGCAATGTAAAAGAACACATTCTGACGAATTCATCCAAAAGCATTTGGAAATCTCGAATTTGAAAGTGTACAAATTATAGTTTTTTTTTTTTTTGTACAAAATTAAAAATTTCATCAAAATAAATGTTAGTTCGTATCCCGTTTTGTAGCTTTTACACTGCATTGTTATTATTTGAATTAATGTCTCTATGTAATATTTAAAATAATTATAAAATATAAAATCAGTATCAACAAAATTAGGACTTAAACCCTAACGATTTTCAATATCTACTTAAAATATTCTAATAGTTGCTGATTATTATATGTATATATTCGAAAAAATTTGAACACCGAGGTGCTTAGTTTTAACGTTGACGTATGGTTATCAATAGTAAAAAATCTGAAATAAATTTAAAAACTCAGGCTATTAATAATCATATACAATAACGTTTTTATGTTTAAAATCACATTGATTTTTTTGAAATTCAACTAAAATTTATGAATTTTTAGCAATTGTTTTTTGTAACGTTGAAATTTCTCACGTCTTTGAATACCAAGGTTAAAAATGATTTGCTATCACTGCAAGTATAAATACCTAAGCGTACTTACCACACGAAATTATATACTTTGAAAATAATGAATTCGGATTAAGAGATTTGCGTAATAATTTGAGGTTCGTAATTCAAGAGTGTGTATTCTGAACTCATTCATCTCATGGTCACTTATAAATGTTGCTACCTATTGTTGAATAAGTTTAACTTATTACTTACACTTGTTTTTATCAAGCTTTAATATTCAGTAAAGTTCCCATGTATATATATATATATATTATATAAAATCACTAAAGTACAATTCATATTTGAGCATATGTCATCCCGGATGTTGGCGTGTATCGTTAAAATACATTAATATATTAAAGCGCTTAATAATAAAATGGGCAACATTAAAATTCAATGGACGGGATATAAGCAGGCCTACGGCTGAATATTATAGTCCATAGTTTGATTTTGAATTAAAAAACGAAATGTATCACCTGTGATTATGCCGGGTGCCTTTTAAACCGTGACGCTTAATGACCCGACGACTTCTGTGTACTGTACTACAGCATACTTAGCCATGATACGCTGTGCTGTGGCCGCGAAGCAATAATAAAACGCTGTAGCGCATTAAAAACGAATTTCGGAATCCGGTGAATGACACGGTCCGAAGATTTGTAATAGGCCGAACCTGGTTTAATAGCCATTTCATTGGACAAAAAACATAGAAATAATTCAAAAATACCATACAAATGGTAAAACACCTTCTATTCGTACAAATGGTATAAAATAGTGCTGTATGTATATGACAGCTTAAATTGTATATTTCAAGTTAACCTTTAAAATGATCTAAGGTGTCTACTACCGTCTACAGTACCCTAATATTTTGTAACGACCTACAGTCAACGTGTACAATACTTCATGTATTCTGACAGCTATTTTTAACACTAATAGGCCTTGTGATAATTTTTAAGAACGAGGAAAAAAGTTAAAAATAGACTACAAAAATTGATTTTCAAAAATCTATGCGATGTTATTTCAAAACATTTTTAACCGTAAAAGGTTGAATATTGTGTATTTATTTTAAATTCAACTTTTTACTTAGTTTTAAATCGGTCGCTTATCATGATATACTATTTAATACTACTATAGATATTAAAACAAAAACTATTACTTAAAAGTTTATTAATTTTTATACGAATTTATAATTTTCGGCTTCTATAGTTTGGTCGGTGACGCATCAAAGTGTAGCTTTTGAAGTTCGGTTCTGAACCCGTGAGCTGTTGATTTTTTACCGTCTTCTCTGCAGAACCGGATTAGAGGACCCACGAGCTTAAGGAGCCCATCTCAAAATTGTCTAGTCTAGTCTTGATTAGTGACTAGATTTTCTGATATTTTTTATTTGCTTATCACTTCTTTTGTGGTAACGATAATTCCATAGAAGGGCCCATCTTAAGGTACCAACACGAAACCCATATAGGTCTTAATCCGGTTTCCTTCTCTAGCATAAAAAATAATACTATTAGCTTATACAATATTCTTCAATATAAAAATGTTTAAGTAAAAATAAATATGACTAATCATTAAAAAACAAAATCTGTCTTGTGAGTTACATCTTACCAGAGTTCCGTTTGTATTTTTATAGAGAAACCTTAAAGTTCATTGTAATAGAGATCGTTTTTATTTTAAACCAAACTGTTTGTTACATACTGTAAAAACAATTTTTTACATATTATAATATATTTATTTTTACATTACACAATTAGTCAATAAAATATTTATTGCATAAAAATAAATAAATATACTCATAATTAAATATTAATTAACCGTTATTATTAATTCATACTTTAAAAACGTAATTAAATAGGTAATTTTTCAAAAATGTTTAATTATAAATAGGTAATAATTCATATTAATTATTATTATTAAAAATATTAATAAATTATTAACTTTTTTTTTTTCAAAGAGTTACCTTATAAATAATGAATAACTATATACAAGGTGTTCAGTAAATAAGGAAACATGTCAGTTGTTACAAACAATGAAAATAATAGAAACCCATTTCCTTACTTAATGAACACTATATAATTATAATTAACTATAACTATAATTATTTTTTTTAATATTTTTAGTTAGAACAAAAAAGTCTTAGTTTATTTGGTATACACACTATGAATAGTAGAATCATTTTGTATAATTCTATAGTAAACTCACAATACCGTATTTAAATAATTACACACAACTTATAAGTATATATTTTTTAAAGAAGTTAACCAATTTTTTTTATGCTATTAATATATATATATAACCATTCTTAAATGGTTGACAGTTGGAATTACACCAATTGCTAATATTTGTTTATTGCTAAGAATATTAGTTTTTGTTTATATCTTGCACAATAAATAATTATAAAAAAAGGTTGCACGAGGTTTTACCTTAGAAACATGATGGAAATTAGTTGTGACATTTTCTGATACACGTACTCTACACTTAATCTATGTATGGACTGGTTTTGGCATCTAAAATGCATATTATATTGTTATAGAATATAAATACAACTGCTACCGTATTTTATATCTGAATATTTAATCATAGAATGAACATAGAATTTTTAAGTAATAATAGTTTACATACTATACCATTGTTTATATATGTTAGTGGCTGGTAGGCAGCGATTATTTATGGGTTATGCAATTCATGTATATAAATCAATTATTAAACGCACGGATCGAAAATGTCTTCAAACCAAGCAAACAAAACGTTTGTTTGAATTTCAGTATTTTGTTTAAAAATTTCTTTCTCGTACCTTGAAATTAATTAATTTCAATGTAATGAAATCAAATAATTTATAACTAAAATCTCGGGAGAGAGAAACTAAATATTTTAGTTAATTAAAGGATACATGATAAATTCATATTAATTCATAAATATTTTATTTTAAATACCGCTTTAAAAATCACAAAAATAAACAGTATTTTAGAAGTATAGATTTTATAAATATTTCACGTTTTGAAATCATCTATAACACTGTGACACTTTCTTAAGAAAATTGCTCTTTTTCATTTTGGTGATTTTTATCAATGTTCTATTCTATTTCTATTATCTAATCAAATATGAAAACAATTACTTGAAAAAGGCAACAACTTTTTACATTTATTGTTTAATTATAAAAAAAAATTTTCTTCACAAATTAATATATTGTTATTAAACAGGGTGTTCAGTAAGGAAACGGGTCAATTAACAACTTATTAATAATTGTTATAAACAATGAGAACAATAGAAACCCGTTTCCTTACTTACTGAACACTCATTATATTATTATCATTATTTGTCATCTGATTTGAAATAAAAATTAACTTTTCATCTTATAATATATTATAACCATTTAATAAATTAAAAATACGAAATTTTAAAAGTATTAACTAATATATAAGACATTAATAAATTAAAGATGTAAACTAATTAGTTTTCAAATATTTAGTATTTGTAAATATAATTAGTTTACATTTTTAGAAATATAATAAGTCATACTGAATAAATTTGTATTAGAACCGAAATATTATTATTGTAGTTTAATTACTCACTTTGAATTCTAAATATTTTAATATAATTTAATATTATTTTGTTTATAACTTTTTATAATATACATTTTATTACATATATATATTAAATAATTCTATTATGTTACACTGTGTAAATATAATATGCGTAACTTAAACACATATTATATTTAAAACATATCTATATTTCAAAACAAGACTAACCCAAATCCAAAAATTATGATTTTGAGGTTATTACATTTTTGTACGCGTTATTAAAATTAACCAAAACTTTATCAACAAAATTTTATTACGATGACCCATTCATATTTTATAAGAGCTTTAAGAGCTCAAGTCATAACATAAATTTGCGCCAAAAAAATCAATACTTGACATAATTTACTTTAAAAAATAAACTAATGGTAAATTAACTATTTAGTTTCTAGTGTGGATCAATATTACTAGTATACTAACTTCTATTTAAATTTTTTATTAAAAATTAATACATCTTTCTAAAATTCTCAAGATGTGACTTACGGTTGTTTAGTTCTGAGGTAAAGATATTTGAATATTATACAAGGATATTTTTAAGGAATAATTAAATATACAATGCAAAATTAAACTGAAAGACTCAAATTAAGTAATTGTGATAACGATGATCAGTTTTGACTCAATTTATAAAGAATCATATTGAAATTTGTGATAAACTGAGGTATATTATTATTCGTTAACTTATAAACAACTTAATATAATAAGTAATGCTATCTAGCGGTTTGAAAACGCTTTTGGATAAAAGTAAAACGACGATTATTTGTTAACATTTTCATTATATTGTCACATNGTAATGCTATCTAGCGGTTTGAAAACGCTTTTGGATAAAAGTAAAACGACGATTATTTGTTAACATTTTCATTATATTGTCACATAAAATTATTTTAATTTTATTTTGACAACAATTTAAAAAATGTTTACCTATTAACATTTTAGAAATACATTTTTGAACACTATATTTTTATGGCATTAATCAATTATTAATAAGATTATTCCAAAATTTATTGACTTCTTAAAATAATTAAATAACAATTATGTAGCTGACAATTAACGCATATAAATGAATACACATATTTTCTTAAATTCTATATTAATCGACCTTTGGATATTCAAATTTAAAGTTACAAATGTTGAAAATTAAATCAAATCATCCGGTAACAAAGCCTTTTCCAAGGTACTTTACTAAAATAGGTAAGGGTAAAAAAAAATACATTTTTCAATTTTAATTTGTTTAAATGGTGAAAAAAATTATGAATATTAATAATATACAGAGTAATTCTTTTATCATAAATCACTTATTTAAACAAAAAATAAAAATGTTTTTATTTTATCTTAGTTAAATACTTTTCTCAATTTATCAACCATTAGTATTTTATAAGTGTGTTCACTAAATTTTTTTGATAGTAACAAACATAATTGACTATTTTATTTACTATATAATAATCCAATTGAAAAAATGACTGGTTAATAACAACTTAGGCGAATATTTCATAAGTTATTTGTATGCGAGAGGAGTCTGATAATTATGTAGTGATAAAAATATGCTATTATAAGTATATTTTTAATGGATGTTCCTTATTACATTTAAATGTACATAAATATGCCAACACAAGCACCATCCGGTATGGTCTAGTGGCTAGGATACCTGGCTCTCACCCAGGAGGCTCGGGTTCGATTCCCGGTACCGGAAAAATTTTTTTGCAATCCTAAAATACTATTAATAATAAATATTTTTTTTATTATTTTATGATATACAATAAATAAATAGTGTTTATAAGATATATTACTACAGTTTTATACCTAAAATAGTTCATGTTTAAAGAATATGAAGTCTTGTAGAGTATTTTTTGTCTATATAAAGACAAATTTTTTAAATAAAAATATAATTTATTATATAATAAAGCATCTATGAATTATGTTAAGATAAATGATAACATAACAAATGTTTGATTCTTCTCTTAAGTCAAAAAATTGTAACTTCACAGCATAATTTTTCATGTAGGAGAGAAAACTGAAACCTTACTCGTCTTGGTAAATACATAAGTACTATTAAGTAACTATAAAATAATTAATTGTATGTTAGTTGTAGTTCAATGAACATTTTAAACCAACTAATACCATATCAAAACATCCACCTATTTTGTAAAATGAATAGCTTATCAATTCATTTATAATAGATATGTTTACTACAAATCATTTTTCCTTTTTTGCAATAATATCTAAAAATGAATAATAGAAAATTGAATCTTATGTCTGTAATGTTATATCATTATAAGCATTAGAAATAATGATGCATTAGATATAAAAGATGAGAAATTCAACAAAATGAAATAAATGACTCGTGACTAATGGAACCAATGCATATGGTTAATTCTACTTAATAACTATGCTGGCGTCTGGTTGACTTAAATGGCTTGCCAAAAATCTTAAACGGTACATAAACTATACTCAGACTAAAAGTATGTAAAAGCATAACTGAAATAATACATAAAAGATGATAATAGGTTTAGATTTTGTTCTGATAATTCTGGAAAGAATCATACAAATCAAAAATTTCTTTCTTCTTTATAAATGGTGAATAAAATTATTAGTCAATTAATATAAGTAAAATCAACAATCAATAAATATTATATATAGAACGAAAAGAGTAATTGTAAGTATTAACGAATATAATGAGGTCGGAAATAAATTATTTTTAATTTAATTTATGAAGCCCATAAGAAAAATATAAGCACCCGAAAATACTTATTAACTAAGTATTAACTTATTAACTATTAAATTTAAGCTAAAATAATATTTTTACTAAACAGTGTATGTGTGTATTGTAACATACAGTTATTATTTGACAAAATTCTTTGCTTTGAATTATAACTAAGTAACCCTAAATAATATCAAATGTCACTGAATTTTTACTTTAATTGATATTATTTTTATGTATAGTTTTTTTTGTAGAATTTTATATTGACTAGCTTGTTTTTTTTTTTAATTGCTAATTACTTGGAGTTTTTTGCTTTAAAGAAATAATACCATTATTAAAAATCATTAAGTGTATCATTAATAAATGAATCACTATTGGATAAAACTTCATAAGTGATATTCAAGACAGTAATCCGATGTGTAGATTTCTGGGATTTTTATGCAGGTGGCGAAAAAGAAGTATTAATGTTCAGTTAACGTCATTCTAGGCCTGATGAAGAATATCTAAAATCTCAAACAAGGAACCTGTTGTATGCCAATAATTATTAGCAAGTCGCCTCATTTAAAGTCAATAGTTAGTAACTTATACGACAAATCTTCAAATAACTTCACAAACAGCGTCATATAAATATGAATAACTAATTTAAAACTTTGTTAAATATTAATAAATATAGTAATAATACTTGTTTAATATATTAGCTTAAGAAAATGAAATTAATATTAAGTAAGAACTAAGCATTTTTTATTCTACTTTTTACAAAAATGTTGTAAGTTAATAATATGGTTTTTTAGTGAAACATTATCTTAGTTTGAAATATTAAAAGTTAATAAACATTTTCATAAATATATATATATTAATTTATTATACACTTAACAACAGCTATAATTAAAAACGTGAAGATGATGGTTTTGTTGAAAGGAAATGAATAATAATAATAATAGGCTATTGAATAAAGGAACTATGGTAATTATGCTTAACGCATTAACTATACTTACATTATACAAATAGTATAATTGTTCATAGTTTAAATAACCCTTATTTGAAACAAATTTACGCATGTTAGAACTACAGGGTGTTCAGTAAGTAAGAAAATAGGCCAATTGTTACAAACAATGAGAACAATAGAAACCCGTTTCCTTACTTATTGATCACCCTACAAATTAGCCACACAAACATCTCTTTTTTAAAGTGAAATATCAAATAAATTTTGTTGTTACACAATTAATTATAATATCTTTGTTTAGAACAAAATTTTAGAATTATTTCATTAACATACCTATGATAGTAATTTTATTACATCGTAAAAAATGTCATGTTACGCAGTTCATTTTTTAATTTTCAAAAATACAAATAGTCACAGTAAAGTGAGAAAACAGTTTCCAAACCTTGAAAAAAATAATTTCAAAATATAGTTTTTCATGTATATCTTACCACTGAACAAAATTCTAGATATGTTGTTGTTTTTAATCATAACACATATCATAGTGGCGTAGTCAGAACTATTTTTCGGAAAGGGTTGACAAAATGTTTTTATTTTATAGTGAAAATTATTTTTGACGGCTATTTTTTTTTTTTGAAAATCTATTAAAAAACACAATTTTTATTAAAAAAAATACGGTCATTGTATGAATTTTGGGGAATCCTAGCCATCCTGGCAACACCACTATCATTAATCTTAAAAATTGGGTATTGATTTTTGTACAACGCAATTAGCTTTTAAATAAGATGTGACAAAGGAAATATCAATAACTATAACTTAATTAAGTCATCTTTGAAGTCGAGATTATTCAGCATTAAAATAATTTGGAAATTTAATCAAATGTATTTAATCTACTTTTAAACTGTAGTTCAAGTAAATGTTTTCTTAATTTTCCTTGAAAAAAGATAACAAATCATAACGGCTTTGTAAAAACCATTAAAATATAAATTCATCTCTAATACACCATCACATTTAATGACACACATAATAAGAATCAGAGACTACAGAAAAGGCATCAGACATTCTACGTCTGGTTGGAAAACAGGAAGTAATTCCACTCGTTGATTCGTCTAGAACATAATATTGCAATTAAATATTATTTTATGCATATGTATGTTAATAATTAGAAAACAAATCCATTAGTGTTGTGTGATATAAAGTAGTACTGTTAAGCATAAATGAATAGTACATTATCTATACTCAGGGTCGTATTAACCATTGTGTAATATAGATACTCCACCTAAGACCTACAAGAAAGAAGACCGGTAATTATTTTTGTTCTATTACTATTTAATTATAAATAACGAATTATAATAGTTTTTTGACAAATCAATTTTTTTTTATCTCAAGTCTTAAATAATACAAGTATCTTACGCTATTATAAAACGGACACATTTAAAAGAAATTTCTTAACTCAATCTTTTTTTCATTATCTTTTTAAATTAAACACTGTTTTCCATTTAATTAACAATTCGGTTACCAAGTTTTTAATTTTCTTTCATTTTGTCAGATGTAGGTGGTAACATCAACAAAATAATTTAAAAAGACAATACCGATGTTTTTAAATTTAAAATTGACAAATAAAATATACACAATAAAAAAAGAGAAAAGAATATATTAATCCTCTTTATTTTAAGTATTAAAGAATTGTATAATTTTATTATAGAGGTGAAATGACATTTTATTATTAATATACTTTTTTATCATTTACAAAATATGGAATGGAACTAACTTAAACGTTACATTTTAATCATAAAACCGATATCATTGTTTTTTAACCAGCGCTTAAAGCCGGAAAAAAATCCAGGCGGGACTAATGTCTCCAAATAGTTTTAAGCGTTTCATATATCAATTTATGTATCATGTATAATACATATAGTACACGTAATGTATGAACAGTGATTGTATAACATACTCATTTTATTTTTAGCCCTGAATAATATTCAAATTTGTAATTTGTTACATGAACAATTTAAAACACAAATAATACATTTTTAAGAATAATTAATTTTTTATAAATAGTTTAAATAGGCACACTATTCCCTTAATATTTTTACTCGTCTCTGAAAGATACTTTAATCAATTTAATCCCTGTTTTTAACTCAATTTTATTACTTATTTAATTCAAAATTTTGTTTAAACATACTTAGGTTATGTGTATGGGACAAAAAAATATGTAGTGATATAGTTCTTGCATGTGTCATCTAACCTGCGTGCGCTGCTCTATCTGTCATATAACCAAATATCTGCATTGAAAATGTTCTGCTTTCCAGTACTTCTTTTGCCGTTATTATTGACTAATTAAAGAAAAATGTTTGAATGATACATGTATTAAGTATTTAAACATCATGAGTGTTGATTTACACATCTATTATGACATTATACAACACTTTTGTAACGAACTATTCTGTAGATTTACAGTACCTCTTATCTTTATTTATTTCGTTGTTCATATCACCAACGTCGATAAGCAGACTATTATCACACAGCTAATCGCTGCATGTTGACATAAACTACAGGTGTAATAACGAATATGTGTGTTTACATACCATACACCAGTGTACCATTACAATTTATTAATAATACAGTAGTACATTTATATTAAAATTAACCATAAAAATTTGAACTATTTCTCACTATGCATTTAACACGTATAAATAGTATAAAGAATTGAAAAACGATTTTTCAGTCTAAATAACGGAAATTCATGTTTTAATAAAATTTTGTTTGGCTAGTAAAGATACTTAAATTTAAATTTTGTATTTATTTAAATAAAAGAGAATAGATATTATTTTTTTATCCGGGTAAATTTATTATATGTGAGTGGATTACACTGTTTATAATTTTTAAAACTAAGAGTGCATAACCATTGTGTGACGTGTTTTTTTTACATTACATAGTACGCCATCACTTAATCAACTAGTTACTTTTGCAGTAACAAAAATATTTCTAACTTTTTAATAAAACTTAATTGCATGGCATACGTATTTTAATTTAATAACAATTATTTTTAATAGTTACGAAATAAATCTACCATCATTTAATAACAATGAATTATACTAACATTGTCTCATTTATCTTGGTATCTAACGCAACTAATGGACAGGCAACATACGATAAAGAGTATGCAATTAACTTTTTAAAATCAGCTCTACATAGAATAATGTGAAACATTTCAAAGGATAACGAATGGGACCGTCAAGGATTATTATAGAAGATTTAGAAAACTGTTTTAAGAAAATATCGCCGACAATAAAAATGTTGATCATAAACTAAGAGAATCAATGTTGCTAATTAAGGCACGCTAATTGGTACCTAAACACCTTAATAAGCAACATTGTTTCTCTTAGTTTTTGATGAACATTTTTATCATCGGCGATGTTTTCTTAAAATAATTTTTTTAATCTTCTATAATAATCCTTAAATGTCCCATTCGTTATACTATGAAATGTTCCACATGCTTCTACGAAGAAATGAATTTAAAAAATTAATTGCATACTCTTTATCGTATGTTGTCTGTCCATTAGTTGCGTTAGTACCAAGAGAAATANTTGTCTGTCCATTAGTTGCGTTAGTACCAAGATAAATGAGACAATGTTAGTATAATTCATTGTTATTAAATGATGGTAGATTTATTTCGTAACTATTAAAAATAATTGTTATTAAATTAAAATACGTATGCCATGCAATTAAGTTTAATTAAAAAGTTATAAATATTTTGTTACTGCAAAAGTAACTAGTTGATTAAGTGATGGCGTACTATGTAATGTTAATAAACGTCACAAATTGTTTTTGTGCTCTTAATTTTAAAAATTGTAAGCATTGTCGTCCTCATTCACTTATAATAAGTTTATCCTGTTAAAAAAATAAAATTTATTTTATAGCTAGCATCTAAATTAAAATATTTTTACTAGCCAAAGAAAATAAAAAAATAAAACAAGAATTTCCATTATTTTGACAGAAAAATCGTTTTATTGAAAAGCAGTTTCCAATTTTTTGTATTATATACTCTTATAAAATTAGTGGTCCATAAATTTATATACATAGTATATGAATGAAATGTAATGAATTAAAATTTAAGATTATAATATATTATTACTGTAAATACTTTATAATAAAATATTACTGGAAAAGTATACAAATGAACTAATATTTGTTAAGAATTTTTTAAGTGTTCTTGTATTTTTTGTATTAACAACAGATTCATTTCAGGTGAAATCATCTAATGTGAGTGCAATTATAGTTCTGAATTTTTTATCATTAAATTCTTGAAGGTCATTGATAAAAAATAATTTTTTATCCTTTTTTTACACATAAAGTGCAGTTTTTAAAATTATAAACATGAAAAAATACCCTGTGTTCTAGAACCACAAATATGACTTTTTTTTAAATTAATTTAATGATTACCTGTAGGTAAATAAAATATCCAGTTAAAATTTAATGACTGAGAAATAATTTTAACACCACTTGTGAAGTTTCAAATTATACAATTTACGTATTCTGAAAATTCACAAAGTACGTATATTTCAATGTTAATTTTTTTTTGTGGATTTACTCTGCACATAGAAAATACTACATACTATCGTACGCAACAATTTTTTTAAATTAATGCTATTATTTTGTATGCAATATATGAAAGAAATGCTGATGGTAAAAAAATTACTACACGGAAAAGATTTATTTTATATAATTTAAAAGAATTATAAATTATAAATAAATTAAAAAACAAAAAATCCAAATGACCAATACGATTTTTCTAAATTTGCTAAATTAAAACCTAAATGGTGTATTTTAGCAAGTGGTACACACTTCGTATGTGAGTGTGTGATCCATCAAAATATAAAACTTATGATTAAATAGGCTTAATTTAAAAACTAGTATCCAAATTCAATTGATTAAAAATCCAAGTGTTGAAGTAAACACGAAATATTCCATTTTATTTTTTATGCATTTTCATCAACTAATTTATGCAATTAAAATTTTTTTTTTTTACAAAAAATCTTTTATTAGAATTAAATTGAGCAATAATTTTTCTTTGTACATTAATATTTATTGTTAAAAAAAAAAAATGAAAATCCTGTATTCTGTAGATTTATATATTTCACAAACTTAGATTACTCTACTTTTGTTATTTAATATCTATGAGATCATATTTATTAATTAAAACAAAATTGAATTCCGATACGTCACTGCATTTCTGAAGTTTCTGTATACTATACTTCGATGTACACTAATACTGAAAATAAACAAATATATTTGAATCCTGTTTTTGCTTTCTGAGTAAATTCAAAGTATACTTTGAAGTAATGAATAGCTTTTACCATCCACTTCGCATGATGTGTTGAACCTGGTATATATAATTGACACTAAGCTCTAATATTTTTGCAAATTATAAACATATGAATGTATTCATAAATTCATTATTATTCGACATTAATTATAATCATCAATATATTTTGAGACATAGCTCCAAAACCCAAAGTATTAAAATGCTCTTATATGCATTATAATCAAATGAATATCTGATATTTAATGTATAAATAAAAAAAGACTGCGCATTAAAAAAAAAACTTTTCCAATATTTTGGTGAAAAGTTATCCAACTGAGAGTGAGGTCGCGTCGGTTTTATGTTTAAATGCATAATAAACTCATAAACCGCTATAAGCCTCTTAGACCTTTAAAATCTCTTTATCGTATAGCCGAGAAACGTTTTATGAATACATTGGAATCTATGCAAGGACTCATGAGGGTGCTTGTATTTGTGTGTTAATATATTTTGTAATGGGAAAAATATTCGATACACACATTGTATAATGCGTTTACTATATTTAAATTTCCAGCTATTACGACAACGTAAATCCCATATAACACCCCTAATTGCGGCACTCAAGCATTTTGTTTTAAAGACCTTCATAGTTTAATTTGTGGAGATGCATTNGATAACGAGAACATTCGAGAATATTCGTTGCGTATGTTTTGGTCGCTACAGTATATTTTATTGATCATATGTCATTTCGGAAACACATTTTATTTAATAAAAATAAATTTAAAAAAGCAAACAAATTTTGTCTTATAATATCATGATTTAGAAGTACATTACTTCAAAAAAAAAAAAATCCAGCACATTGTTATCGCGGCATAGATAGGACAACTATACACAATATTTGATAGTGATGTTAATCATATATGTTAAATAATATAACTTATTGAAAAGTGTATTAATCAATATAATTTTTTTATGGGAAATACTATTTTTTAATAATCCCTTTTTCATTCGACATACTTTATCTTAATCAGGATATTAATAAGGAACTAGCAGTTTATGAAGCTTTTGGAATAATCCACCAATTTTTTAAAATTAAACACTATCTAAAGATTTGCATCGAAGCGCTTTTTTTTTTGATAGTGATTTTAATCACTGTCAGATATCATTATACTTGATCCAACTATGCCACGTCACCACTGTGCCGCGACCCCCCTGTGCTGGGTTTTTTTTTTAAATTTCACTCAAATATTAAATATTTATTATTAATCAATATTTTCTTTCTTTTTATCATACAGTATTCTTAAATAACTTTAATTTGATATAGGTAAGAATTTGTCAAATCTTTCAGAATACTTTCAAAAATTGAGTTGAAAAAAATATTGCATACCATGCGTAGGTGGTCTATATCAAACCTTTTCTTATAATGAGGTTTTTCATTGAATATTCAAAAAAAGCATTTCAAAAGAAATCTTATTATATCTTGTTCACTGTGTCAAAATTTCTTTAAGCTCAAGAATTAAAAAAAACGTTACATCAGTTTTAAAATTTAGAAAAAAGTTTCTGAAAATACTATTGTTTACGTAAGTGTAATTTTTTGATATTTTTTTTAATTTCTAGAAATAAGGGTTTTTAATAATTTTCAGTGCTATGTAGTTTATGTACATTATAGTCTGATTCTTTTGAAATATTGATCATTAAAATCGTTCTAGTAGAGCTAAGAATTTTCATGAACAGACGAAAAAACATACCATCACAAAACCTTTTTAGTTTCGCATCGAAGCTAAAATATTAAGACCCCTGAGAATATTTCTTCAAATATATTTTTGAATAGTTTAATTAGTCTTGTGAATTGAATCTTTTTTTTTTTATTTTATAAATTGTATTTTTTTAAAAACTAGATCTAAATTGTATAAATTTGAAATAAAAGCGCATTGTGTGAAATTGTAAATTCATGACAACTCAAATAAGATTTAATTTAATTTTTAATCAGAGTTTAAATTGTTACGCAGACACAATTATTGAATTTAATTGTTGATAGTGACAATCATAATTACTCTAAATCATTTGCTTAACTATAGCAAGTATGTGGAAAAACAAATTATAATGAACTTTATTTTTGACCTGTTGACCAGACCACATCCGCTTAAAATGA